GTTTAGATTGAATTTAAGATTTGGGAGATGGGGTATGCAAATTACACAATAAATATTTCTTATTCTCCTAAGATACTCTTAGGCTATCACTATTTTTATTTTAATTATCCATCAGCTTAAAAAAAAAAAAAAACTTTTCTATTCCAGATGATGATAGAGAAAGAAGTCTAATTAATTAGAGCAGAGATTGGCAAGCTACTATCCATGGGCCAAATCCTTCTTGTTGCCTATTTTTGTAAATGAAGTTTTATTTTAACTCAGTTATGCCTGTTCTCTTAAGTATTGCTTACAGCTGCTTCCAGGCTACAAAAGCAGAGTTATGTAATTGTGTCAGATACAGCATACCCCATAAAACCTAAAATATTTACTGTCACCTTCCAGAAAAAGTTTGCAGACCCCCAAATTAGAGGAATGGTACATTTAGTCTTTGTGTTTATTGAAACTGAATCTACAAAAATACCCCAAGTAATTTTGCTACAAATAGGCTAACAAGATTTTAGATGGGCAATTTAGAGATCAAATCAAGACACCTAAATTGCAGAATAAAATGTTGAAAAATGACATAGAAATGTTGGGATATAGAGGACTTAATGTTTTGTTTTGTTTTTGTTTTTTTGAAACAGAGTCTTGCTCTGTCGCCTAGGCTGGAGTGCAGTGGCGAGATCTCAGCTCACTGCAACCTCCGCCTCCCAGGTTCACGCCATTCTCCTGCCTCAGCCTCCCGAGTAGCTGGGACTACAGGCATCCACCACCACACCCGGCTAATTTTTTGTATTTTTAGTGGAGAGGGGTTTCACCATGTTAGCCAGGATGGTCTCGATCTCCTGACCTCGTGATCCACCCGCCTCAGCCCCCCAAAGTGCTGGGATTACAGGCGTGAGCCACCATGCCCAGCTGATGACTTAATGTTTAGAATAATTCTGGGTTCTGTGAAAGATGAAATTCAGAGCACCCACATACTCCCTGTTGAAGAGGCATCTGCCTTTTGTTATGTACTTACACACAATGGGAAGTAGCCAACACCACAGAGTTTGTTATGTACTTACACACAGTGGGAAGTAGCCGGCTCCACAGTTTTGCCATGGTGTCAAGTGTTGATGGCGCTTTTTAAAATAACTTTTGTAGTTTCTGAATTAGGGAACATCAATCAAATTGGAAGATTCAAACTCTTCAATTTTTGAAACCTGTGTACATGGGTTTATTCTCCCAAAGACGATCTTATTTCTGGTTGGACTTGTCTCACTTCAGTTTGCCATGATAATAAGAGGGAACCTTCAGAGGATGTGAAGGGGAGTTGTTGCTTAAAGGGTATGAAGTTTCAGTTAGACATGATGAATAAGTTCTGGACGTCAGTTGTACTGCGTGGTGACTATAGTTAATAATGTATTATATATTTGAAAATCGCTAAGAGATTAGATTTTAAGTATTCTTACGACAAAATAATAAGTATGTGAGGTGATAGATATGTTAGCTCGATTTATTCATGGTGTGTACATATCAAAGTGTCATGTTGTATACCATATATATGTACAATTTTTATGTATCAGTTTTCCTTAATAGAGTTGAGGGAGTAGGGATATTTTCTTTCCTTAAATCTATATGTTACCTAGAAATATCTAATGTCCCGAATCCTTTAAGAATCCAAAATCATTTAGTAGAAGGTTTCAAAATACCGTAACTTTCACTAATTTTATAAAAACATTCTTGAAAGCATCTTGTATATAGAACTTCTAGAAGTATAGTGGAAAAATACCTGGACTGAAGTCACAAGTTCTTAACTAGACCGCTAACTAGATGTTGAGAAAAGCTGGGTTTCTAGTACCAGCTACCTATCTCTGGACTTCTTTTAGGAGAAAAGCCACTAATTTTAATGCTAAATCCACTGATTTGGGGGCATTTTCTCATGGTTTAACCTAATCCTTACTAACGAGAGTTGTAGTAGACTAGTTTATCTCTAAAGACTTTACAGTTCTGTATCTCCACACATTTGTGTGAGGTAGAGCTAGTGGAGGGAAATAAATAGAAGTCTGTATCTGGTCAAGATAAAGCAATGCTATTACAGAACTACAAATTTTATGGTAATAAAAGACATACTATTTCCCAAAAGCAACTGACTCTCGTGTTCATTTTTACACATTTCTCTTTCCTTATTTAACTTTTGAGTTTCTTATTTTATCCTGTTTCTTTCATTTTCGCTTTATATCATTCTTATTCTGTATTAGAGCTGTTAGTGCTATGCCAAGAATTTCTTGTGTTGTGGCTGTTCTTCAGGAGGTTGTTCCTGAGGAAGGTTGATGAGTAAGGCACTGAGCCATCTCTAGCTGCAGGAGGGCTGGAGAGAGAGGTGTGTCTTTGTTGATAGAGTGACTACAGATTTGGATGGCACTTCAGGTCGTTCAGGGTAGGAAAGTGCAATAAGCTGGGGACCCTTCTCAACCCCACACACCCATGTCCTCCTGTAACCCTGATGGTAGTTACATTAATTGTATCAGAGTCTCTCTTTTTTCATGGATGTGTTTCTTCAGATATTCAAACTCTTTCACATCATTCCTTTCTTCTTAAGCAGTTATTCTGTTTTGTTGTGGGTTCTTTAATTCATTTAATAAATATTTGTTAAGCACATGCCATGTGTTTTTTGTTGAGTTCTGGGGACATAGTGTTCATCACCTCCCTGAGAGTTTGCCATCAAATGGGAAAGTCAGATAAGGAAACAGGCAATTATAATACGAAATAAAAACTGAGGAATTAAGGAAGCCAACATTGACTTTTTTAAAACATTGAACCAGCATGGTTAATGGAAAGAGTATTGGTTTTAGGTTTTGTTGATCTGGATTCTATTGCTTAATAGTTATGTGACTTTGGGAACATTAACCTCCATCAATACTGCAAGATTATCCTAAGTTTTAGAAATACATAGGTAAAGCACTTACCCTAGTACCTGCTGAGTAAATAATTTCTTCCTTTTTCCTAAGTTGTACATCCCTAAATTGTTGTAATTCTGAAGCCTATAAATAGAAAGTCAGTTCCTCTGGCCCCTACTTCACAGGTGATGTGAAAACTGGATATAAAATTATTTTTAAGACAGTTTGGGAACACTCTGCCCATAAACTATTAGTACAGTCCAGTTTTGTAATTGTTTCTTGTAAAATTTATCCAAAATTCCATTATTAAGATATATTGACTATAAACAAATACCTTAGGAATTTACAGTATTGCTTGTAAAATATGGCATTGCACCAGTAATTCTGTAATCACTGGTCTTGAATTTGTCAACTTAAGAGGAAATACTTCACTGTCTTCCCACCTCCCTCAACCTGTAGTTTAGCATACCAGTTACTCTTAGTCAAATTGTGGTTTTTGTCCGGAAGGGTAATGGTTATAACATTTATTCTTGAGATATTTAAAAAGCAGTCAAGTAAGTCATCAGTAAATTGATTAAATCTATTTTCTTAAGACTCATCAATATAGTTTGAATGTTCTCTATTTGAAGAATTGAAAAACTATAGAATTTAGGGATTAATACCATGTTGTATTTAGAAATGAAATAGCCAAACTAGAAACTGAAATTGGTATAACAGCAACACAGGTTTGTAATTTTTCAAAAGCATGACAGTTGGTAGTTCACATCAGAATATTACCCTTGGGAGAATCAAATCTTGTTTCATTATGTGACTGATCTTTCCAATTTTGCTATGCTTTATGTAATAACTGTTCCAGATTTATTTTTCTGTCATAAGTGTACCTTAAAAATAAGAGAAGCTAATGTTATTCTTTATAAGAAATGTAAACATTAAGATATCAACACAATGTAGAACTATTTTCTCTATGTTTTATATAAATCATTCTAAATCATAAATGGGAAATAGTGATCAAACAAATATTTACGTTCCTACCAAAAGAAAAGGCCCAGTGAAGCAGAGTGAGGAGGGATAAGGGGTGGGGAAGAAGCCTGAGGCTTGTGTTGGTAGGAGCACCACAGTGAGACTGGGTGACAGCATGAGAAAAATGGATGTGTTCTTCCATCACTGCTGTTCCCTCTGTTTGAATTAGACAAATGGCACATACCCAAGGGGAACTAGGGACAATGCTCTGAGGACAGTAACCACTTCCATACAGCCCTGCCAGATTCATGAGAGCAATGGTGCATCTGCTTTTTGTTGCCATTGTTGTTACTTAACCTTGTCATGGACACATTATTGTTTCTGTGGCATTTCTTTTGTGGGTTCTCACTCATATTACTTTCTTTATCATGGCTATGCTGGATTGTCTGTTGGCAAGTCAGCACCATTTACCCTTTCGGCACCTTGACTGATACACTGGTTTCTGAGAAGTGTGCATGTTGGCTTTTTTCCCCTCTCATTTTGTCTCCCCTTGTTCCATACCACCAAATACAAAATTTAGATACCCCGAAATCCATTACAGATAATTGATCTGTAGAGATTTTGTTTTGATTTGGTTTTGTCTTTTTTTATTTTTCCTTTTAATGGCAAAATTTCATTTTTACCCTCCTTCCCACTGCAATAGCAAAATTCCACACACTGGAACTGCTTTTACACCCCCTTTCTCCCAGAGCTGCCTCTCTTTTAAGGAAGGCTCTTGTTTGAAAACATTAATGCCAAGAAAGGCATTCATTGATTTATTTAGTAAACTTTTTGTGAATTTTTGTAACCTTCGTAACACTGTGCTAAGTGGTATTTATAGATGATTCAGTGAAGTACACAAAACTAGTTGGATTATGAGGGTAAAATAGTCAAAATATATTCATCAAAACTACTGTTTAAATCATACTATTATACAAAGCTTGTATTTACAGAATGTTTCCAAATGTTCTGTTGTAAAATGTAGTTAATACCGGTTACTTTCAACTATGGGTTAATTTTTTTCAACTCTTCCCTTAGATAAGCTGTGTTGCCATTATAACATTTAAATGAGTTTCATGCTGAGTTTTGTATTGTTAAACTGTGTCTGGAAGCTAAACTTTATAATGTGTTACATTTTAGGTCAGAAGACATGTCTTCATCTACATGGCATCTTTCCTTACCTCTATGTGCCATACGATGGTTATGGACAGCAGCCAGAAAGCTATCTTTCTCAGATGGCATTCAGTATCGACAGAGCACTTAATGTGGCTTTAGGCAATCCATCTTCCACTGCTCAGCATGTGTTCAAAGTGTCATTAGTATCAGGAATGTAAGTATATGATAATATATTTTATAATTTCTGTTTATGTTGCTATTCTATTTAGAGGAAAACACATTCAGTTGATATACTCTATTTCTTTTACTTCTAGTCTAATGCAACTGCAGTGAATTTCTTGCTGTAACTTTTTAACATGAATTTTTATGTCAGTGGAAGGTAGAGAGTCAACAGTGATTTTTGTTGTTTCCTTTTCCATTTCTCTGCTTCCTAGAACTATAGAAATTCATGTAATTTATTCAGCAGATATTTATTAAGTACTTTTTATATGCTAAGCACTGTTCTAAGTACTTGGGATATATTGCTGAACAAAACAAAGATCCCTGCCAGTGTGGAAGTTACATTCTGCTATGAGAAACAGATAATAACCAATAAATACAACATTACATTAATTTATTTGCTATATGATAATTAGAACGGTGTAAGGAAAGAATCTATACAAGCAGGATAAGAAGGATCAGTAGTATGGGGTAGGGAAGTAGACTAGTGACAATTTTAGAGTAATCAGGGAATGTGTCATTGATAAAATAACAACATCTGAGCAAAGACCTGGCAAAGTGAGGGAGTAGGAACAGCATGGAAGCCAGGTGACTGAAATGGAAGAGTAAAGAAGAGTTGGTCTAAATGAGGTAAGAGAGGTATGAGAGGTTAGAGATTGTGAGGACCAGTGATTCTCAAAGTGTGGTTTCCATACTTTGGTTTCCTAGTATCACCTACTATCATTAGTTTTACCTAGCTTGACAGCCATGAGAATATACCTGTCAGATCTCCAGATACATAGAGAATGAGTGAATGGCCCCAGCTACTATACGCTCAATTCCAGTCTCACTCCACATGACCTGCTTTCCATAGGCTACTCTTACCCTGTGACTGAGTATGGAAAAGATACTAAAGCAGGTCTGTAAGACATCCCTCTGTCCACTTGAGATGAGACTGGTATCTAGGTCTGGTGGCTATGCCAGCTTCTGGCTCCCTTCTCATTTTCTCTTACATTTGGCATTTACTTCTTGGAGGACTCGGACTAACACACCTGGGAACTTGGTAATACTACATTCTTGGGGCCCTGCAATTTGTGTTTTAATAAGCCTTTCTGATGATTCTTATGCCTGCTTAAATGTTTGGTTATCACTCAGTAGGCTAACATAAGGACTTTGACTTTTACTCTAAGTTATTACGTGATTTCAAGCAGCCAAGATCTGGCTTAAACTGGAAAGGATTACTTTAGCAACTGTATTAATAATAGATTGTAGGGGGACAAGAATAAGAGCAGGGAGAGAATTAGGACATTAATCTGGGTAAGAAAATATGGTGGCTTGATATTAAGGTAGAAAAGACCTAGGAATTAAAATTAAAACAAAAAAGAAAATAGTGTGGCTTGAACTAGGGTGGTAGCAGGAAAGTAATGTGGAGTCATCAGCTTCTGGATCTATTCTGAAGGTTGAGTTAATATACTAGATTTGCTGTTTGATTGGGTAAGGATTGTGAGAGAGAAATCAAGGTTGGCTGCAAAAATTTAAGTGTGTTCTGCTAGTAAGACGGAAGGTGGAGGTGGAGCCAACTGACAGGAAAGCTCTGGAGCTCATACAGGAACATTTGAGTTGTTTTATCTCTGTATGAAATCCAAGTGGAGACCTTAAATCTCTGCTTTCTTCCACCTTAATCTAGGCTTTCCTCTGGACCATGATAGTATCATTTTAATTGAATTTCGTTCTATTTTTATCTCATTCCAGAGCAACAGAAGTACTCTTCTTATACTGTAAATTTAAAATCATTTAAAAATTCTTGAGTGGCTTCATATTGTTAATAGAATACAATTTAAACTTCTAGCCATAACCTATGTGACCTCACCCCTGTCTATCTCTGAAACTTTGCTTTCTGTATTCCATTCAGAAACAGTGATCTTCTCTCAGTTACTCTGCTATCCAAGTTGTTTCTCACCTAAGTTCTTTGTATATACAAGTTTCTTTCCTTGAGTATTCTACCCTTCCCCAAGCATTCAGATCGTTGACCTCTTCAGAGAAGTTTTCTTTGACTATCCCACTTAAAATAAGGTATTTTAAGTAGGGCATTATTATTATTGTTGTTTTTATTATTCTGTATCTCAGCCCATTATTTGTTTTCTTTAGCACTTAATACAGTTTGCAGGTATTTTAATTTTCATTTATTTACTTAATTTTTATGTGTTTCTTCCACTAGCATGTAAACTGCATGCTCGTGCACTAGCATGTTATGAGATGGCTCAATAACTATTTGGTTGGATAAATGAATGAGGTGAAAGTTTACACTCATCCTATAACAGAAGCAATAATTATGTTAGGGATAATTATCTACTTTATCTTTTAGTTTTGTTTATTCTTGATAGTTTCTAATAACTTTCCTATATATATCCTCATTTCAAAGTTGAGTCTCCAAACAGCCCAGTGAAATGCATAGTCACTAATCTTCCTGTATTTTTGTATTTGTTAAAGACATTGCCACATTTTTAGAGAAGTTGAGTTACAAATCTGGATACATGGGGCAAAAGATGAGCTGCTCACTCTTAATTTTTCATTGCAGTTTTCTTTTTTCTTCTAATTTTTTGGTCATTTTCTTCCCTAGATCCCCTTTTTCCTTCTCATTCACTCTACCTTCTCTAATTCCTTTACTCCTTCAATTTTTCCTACTTCTTTAAGTTACATAAAGTTGCATCTAGCTACCAAATTAACATTTATATGAGGTTTAACTGTATTCATTTTAGACTATCACTATCCTGAGGCTGAGTTAAGAGACAGGATCATGACCTTGGGCAAATTTCTGGGATTTCTTCTTACTCAATGATTTTAGAGAATCTTCTGTAAAGAGATTCTCAATCCATCAAAATTAATTAGGTGAGATTTTTCACTGTCCACACTCATTTTCCTTCCTGTTGATATACTTTAAAAACTAACTCTAATTACAAGATACGATTTTTTTAAACATGAAAACATCTACTTTCAAACTCTTCCATTCTACTTTTTTTCCCCCCAAAGAATCTCCTTGATAAGGAATTCTTTTGGCAAAACCATTCATCTGGCTGAAGATAGCCCATATTTCCAGAGAGCTACCTTTGTATGTATGAAACATACCATAGCAGGAAAGGGCTGTAATTAAGGTTGAATTTGCTAGTGAGAGAGAATGATATCATTTATGTAATGTGTCTTTCTTTAACCCATTCTTCATGGCAACAAAATAGGGTGAACAGCAGCAAACTAGACCGGAAGTGGTATTATATAAAGTTAAGAAAAGGGTGAAGGGTGAGAGGGAGGGATGGTCAGGTGAGACTTTTCTGAGAAGGTAAATTAAGCAGAGTTCTGAATGAAGATTAAACAAGCCATGCGGAAGTCCAGAGCAGAGCTTTCCACTTGAGGGATCGAGTTAGAGGGCCTGAAATGTTAAGAGTGGCTGGAGGAGAAGGAAGAATGGTATGACTTGAGATTGGAGTGAGAGGCAAGGATGAGATGAGGAACCCTTTAGACCTTGGTAAATAGTTGGATTTTTTTTTTAAACAGAAATTACTTTATAGCAATAATACAGGTGGCTTAAAACAACTTAAAAAATTGTTTATACCCAAAATAATGACTCTGCTACCAAATTAGTCCTTTATTTGATGTCCACTACACTATTAGACATCACAGAGAGGTGGTGTCCTAATGAGAGTAAATTCTATTATCTACTGCCTGTCATAAGGGAACAATGTTTTTAAATGAAGAGTGATTGGGTTTATCCACCTAAAGATTTAACCATGTATTAACAGACCACTTTTAAGCCAATACAAAGCCTTTTATTTCATTCACAAATTTATACCTGTTTATGTATTGTTTCTAATTAATCATCTTTGAAAATAGTTTTCTGTATATCAGAGGTTGTAGTGTAGTTTCAGATCCTCCTGAAATGATGTGAGAGTTCAGCTTATTTCATCTTGCACCAAGGATTTCTCTCCCTGTTATGTAGTCTTTTGTTTCCCCCTTTCCTCATTCCAGCTGATACCCTGAGAAAAAACTCAGCCATAACATGATTAGGTTGCTTAAGTAAGTTCATGGTCTTTTTCAGTCTCTTACGTTCCTGTCTACACAGTTTTTTCAGAGGCTTCCCTTGATATTGTTGTGTGTTGCAGTTTTACTCATGTCAGCTACTGAAATATATGCTGTGTGTACATATAATAGGTAAATTGTCTCTGCCTATTGAACTTATAAAATTAATAATAAACAGCTGAATAAGGAAAGTAATGTAAGTGTTGTTAAAGGACTTTGTTGATGAAGAACTTCAGTTTTTGTTTTTCTTTTTGTTTGTTTGTTTGTTTTTGAGATGGAGTCTTGCTCTGTTGCCCAGGCTGGAGTGCAGTGGCACAATCTCAGCTCACTGCAAGCTCTGCCTCCTGGGTTCACGCCATTCTCCTGTCTCAGCCTCCCGAGTAGCTGGTACTACAGGCGCCCACCACCACGCCCGGCTAATTTTTTATATTTTTAGGAGAGACGGGGTTTCACCGTGTTAGCCATGATGGTCTCGATCTCCTGACCTTGTGATCCGCCTGCCTTGGCCTCCCAAAGTGCTGGGATTACAGGCGTGAGCCTCTGCGCCCGGCCCGAACTTCAGTTTTTAACAAAAAAATGAGAGCCAGAAGAAGGTGACTGAAAGGTCTGTTTCTCTCATATGTAGAGTAAAGCAAACAAAAATATGTTTTCTTATATGTGGAGTAAAGAAAACAAAAAACCACTTAAAGTCTTAATGTTTGAGATTAAGGGTTGGATGGTTTGCTCTTCCTTTTTGTCCATAGTTTGTTCAGAGTGATAATTTTTAATTCCCATCATCAGTAATGCAAAGAAAGTGATATTTTTTACACTTTTTAAAAAAGCTTTAGTATTTCATATGTTAACCTGTGCTAGGTTTAACTGAAAGGTTTGGGTTTTTTATAATTGTTTTTTGTGGGGGTGGATAATATTAAATGTAAGACTGAATTTGGCCAGCTGAATCTAATTAGGGCAGTAAGTTGCATTATTTCATCTCTGAATTATGAAAATCATTTGTAATATCTTTTTCTTATATTTCAGGCCTTTTTATGGTTATCATGAGAAGGAAAGACACTTTATGAAGATCTATCTTTACAATCCTGCAGTGGTGAAAAGGTACAAAAATAAATGAAACCAAAACATGAATAACTATCATTTAAGTATTTTAATAATAAAAAAAATCTAGAAAGAAGGCCTCTATAGTTTGTAGTCTTATTAAAGACAGAGACCGTAAAATACACATGTATGTGTATAGGGAGAGGCCAGTGGCTTGAACTCTATGAAGGATGTTTTAGAGGTGGAGGCTCCCAACTGCTTCTTTCCTGTTACAGATTAGAGAGTTCATAGAAGTAAGTAAGGAGAGATTATGCTGCCATGTATGATGTTAGCCCTCTTCTGGCCAGACCTTAGTTCAGCATTAAGAGAAAGTTGCTCTTTAGCATCAAAGCAAGGAGAAATGTGTAGGAATGAGTCCAGAGCGAGAGGGCTTCTGAGATCTCAGAAACCTATTGATTCTTTTTACTAGATGTTGGTGAAATTTTATATTCCAGGTTTTTTGTTAGTTTTGGTTTTGGTTGTTTTTTCTTCTCTCAGTTAGTCTCCCTGCCTCTAGTTTATCCTCTCAATCATCTTGGAGCCCAGGTTATTGAGGGCAGGGAAGGGCACATATATGGAAGATTTTAATCATCCTTTCAGATTCAAAACAAGGATTTTCACCATGTATAGTAGCAAGCTAGGGTAAAAGTGGCCTTGGAGGTGTACTAAGTACTGTTTTTTCAGGAGGTCTTTGATGTTTTCAAGAATCTCTTCCATCTATCGGCTATTCCCATCTTTCTTTCCAATTCTATTTTAATGTTAATAAAACTTTGCTAATTATACGCACACGTTCATACTCATAGAAACACCTTTCTCTTATAGCCATTCTCCTTGAAAGATTTATCCAACTTCTTACCTCTCATTCATTGTTTGTTTGTTTGTTTGAAACAGAATCTTGCCCTGTTGCTCAGGCTGGAGGGCAATGGCACAATCTCAGCTCACTGTAATCTCAGCCTCCCGGGTTCGTGCAATTCTCCTGCCTCAGCCTCCTGAGTAGTCAGGATTACAGGCACCACCACCACGTCCAACTAATTTTTTTGTATTTTTAGTAATGACAGGGTTTCTCCATGTTGGCCAGGCTGGTCTAGAACTCCTGACCTCAAGTGATCCGCCTGCCTCAGCCTCCCAAAGTGCTGGGATTACAGGAACGAGCCACTGTTCTCAGTTTTCCCATTCACTCTTTAATTTATTCCAATATGGCTTCTACCCCAACCATTTACTGAAAATTGCTTTCACTAATGACCTCTGTGTTGCTAAATCCAATTTTAGGTCCTTACTTTTTGACCTCATGGTGATGCTTATGATGCCTTAAAACAACCCTAAATGTCAGCTTCTGTGATATATACCACCTCTAGTTTTTCTCATACCAGTCTGATCATTCGTATTTCTGCCATTTTGTTGGTTTCCCTTTTAACATCTATGGTTGTTTCTTAGAATTCTGCCTTAGACTTTCATCTTTTCTCTGCATATTTTCTCTTCCCTCTACAGATTTATCTACTCCCATGGGTTTGTTTGGTTTTGGTTTTTATCTTTATGCTTTTGACTTCCAAATGAATATGAGTAGCCTAATTTCTCTCTAGAGCTTCTAAACAATATATCAAACCACCTACTGGGTAGATGGAATAGCCCAGTGGTTATGAGTGAGGGCTCACAAGGCAGAGAAAATTTGATTTGAATTTTAGCCCCTTTGTTTTTTTAAGAGACAGGATCTTGCTGTGTTGCCCAGGATGGAGTGTAGTGGCGCCATCATACCTCACTGTAACCTGGAACTCCTAGGCTCAAGGGAGGTCCTCCCACCTCAGAGCTCTTCTGCCTTTTATTTGTGTGATTTTTAAATCTGAGATAATTTCTTTATTTGTAAAATGGAGATGATTGTACCACAGACTTGTAATAAACGTTACTTGTAATAAAGTACTTTAGCACAGTATCCAATATATAGTGATCACAAATATGTTAGTTACCTTTGCTATGTTGATAAAATGATTATTATTTTCTTTGTGATTCTTTTCCAATATTATTGTTGGATCCCCACTATACCTAAATGCCCTTGTGTCTAACTTGAGTTTCTCCTTATTCCCCTTCCAAAAAATCCCAAACAAACCAATTTTTCTTATAGTTCTTCCCCTTTCAAATAATTGCAACACCACTAACCAGCTGCTTAAGCAGGAAATCTAGGCATCACCTTCAGCCCCTTTTCTGTCTCACCCTTCACATCTAGTTAGTCATCAAGGCCTGATCATTTCACCTCTTATGTGTTTCCTGAATCAATACATTTCTATGATCCTTGTTATAGCCACCATCCTTAGTTTTTCCACAACAGCCTATTTACTCCTTACCTGTAGTCTTCTGTGTTCTATAGCTCGTCTGGTGATGTCACTTTTCTGCTATTCACCTCTCAGACAAATTTCACTGCCTCTTCAAATGTCTTAACAGGCTCTGCATGCTCACTCTTCTCATTACTTCTCTATCCCTGCCTCTGACACTAGGTCACAGTCTTACTCAGTGGTTTCAGTTCCTAAATAAGCCATGTTTTCTCGTGACCCTTTACATGTGCAGTTTTATTTACATGAATACTCTTCCCTCTCTTCAGAGAAAAAAATGCCTCTTTTTTAGTTTCTTGCTTAGAGACTTTCTCTAAGGTTTTGCAGAAACATCCTCTGCACCTCTATCTGATTAGTATCTTTTCTAGATGTTTAATATATTTCCCCACGTAGTACTTAACTATGCTTTGTATAATTGTCTGTTGTTTGTATTCATCATTGTGAAGGAAAAAAAAAACTCAGGAAAGAAAAATATCAAAATGGCAATACCTCTGAGTGGTGGGATTATAAGTAATGATTTCTTTCCCTTTTTTGAATATTTAATCTTTTCAAAATTATTTGTTATTTTTAAAAGAAAAATTTTATTTTAAAAACCTTTTGGTATTTTAATTTTTAAACATAATATCAAATTGGCTTAAGACAAAATATTCTTCATCCATGCAGTTTTTTGTTATTCAGAACATGTTGCTTACTTTAAAACTTGATTGAAACTTTTAATTTCTGACAAAATACAAATTTCCAGTAAAACTGAAAAGAAAATTTTGTGTGCTAATAAGTACTTTGTTCTCTATATTTCTATATTTAACATTTTAGGGAACATAATTTTATGATGAAACTTTTTTTTTCTAATTTAGGATATGTGAACTTTTGCAAAGTGGAGCCATAATGAATAAATTTTACCAGCCTCATGAAGCGCATATTCCCTACCTCCTACAGCTCTTCATTGACTACAATCTTTATGGCATGAATTTAATAAATCTGGCTGCTGTCAAGTTCCGAAAAGCAAGAAGGAAAAGTAAGGTTAATTTTCAATCAAAGTTTGAAACAAGTGTTGTATAGTCAGTGATTTATAAAATACATATTTAGAAAATAAATGTTGAGTGACTAAAGAATGAAAAGAAATATTTGCACAGTGGAATTAGATTGTCAGAAAAAGCATCTCAGAAAAACATTTTTTTAGTAACAGCTTTATTGAGTTATTATTTATATCCATTTAAAGAGGACAGTTTGATGGTTTTTAGTATACAGGCTACCTAAAAGGTATTGTGGGTTTAGTTCCAGACCACTGCAAAAGTGCACCCTTTACGTTGCTTAGCAATTGATATGTATTGTGATTCTTTTTTTTTTTTAACCTCAGACCTTAATGTTACTTTTTATATTTTAGGAATAGTGTATGATACACAATTCTAGAAATCCCTGGAGTTGTTAGAGCCTTGTTACTTTAGTCCAGCACTTCCCTGATGAGGTGAATAGCTGTAAGTTAGTGGAGGTGTTGGTCTCTCAGCATTCCAGACGGATTCTTAAGTCCCTTGAGCCATCACCTCCACCAATGAACATCCTTGTCCATTTTATCTCAGTGGGTCGTGCAAGCGTTATTGTATTTCTTTGTGTGACATGACCTGAAAAATATTGCAAGCAGAGCTTTCTCTGGGTGAATTTGGTACTGCTTTAAAGTTGTTTATTTATAGAGCCTTTGATATTATGAACAAAACAGAATAACATGGTTATTTGAATAAGTTGATTTCCTCTCAAAACAAATTTATTTCTCCTTTTGCATTTGTAACTTTCTGAGGTGAAAATTAGGAGATTCCCAGATTTTTTACTGTGGGAATGAAAAGTTACAGACGAGAGAAGGCTAGAGCATCTTGAATGGTGAATCCTTTCTGGAAAGTTTTCAATATATTTTGCCCAGATCCATCAGTGGAATCACTTTCAGTGACAGCTATAGCCTTATGAAATGCACTTCTTAAATCATAAGACTTGAAAGTCAAAATTACTCTTTGACCCATGGGATGCAGAATGGATGTTGTGTTAGCAGGCAGGGAACCAACATTAGTCTTCTTGTACATCTCCATCAGACCTATTGGGTGACCAGGTGCATTGTCAGTGAGCAGAAATAGTTCGAAAAGAATCTTTTTTTTTTTGAGCAGTAGGTCTCAACAATGGGCTTAAAATATTCAGTAAACCATGCTACAATTGGTATACTGTCATCCATGCTTTTTTGATCCACTTACAGAACACAGGCAGAGTAGATTTAGCATAATTTTTAAGGGCCCTAGGATTTTCAGAATGGCAAATGAGCATTGGCTTCAACTTCAAGTTACCAGCAGCATTAACTAACCCTGCCAAGAGAGTCCTTTGAAGCTTTGAAATCAGGCATTGACAGCTCTCTAGCAATGAAAGTTCTAAACAGCATCTTCTTCACAGATAAGGTTGTTTTCATCTACATTGAAAATCTGTTATTTAGTGTATCCACCTTCATCAGTTATCTTAGCTAGGTATTCCGGAGAACTTGCTGCAGCTTCTGCATCAGCCCTTGCTGTTTCACCTATCTACAGTAAGGCTGTTTCATACGTTTGTGTGTTCCATTGGAGTAGCACTATTCATTTCCTTTAAGAACTTTTCCTTTGCATTCACTACTTGGCTAACTGGCACAAGAGACCTAGCTTTTGGCTTATTTTGGCTTCTGACATGCCTTCCTTGGTAAGCTTAATCATATCTAGTTTTTTATTTAAAGTGAGAGACATGTGACTCTTCCTTTCATTTGAACATTTAGAGGCCATCGTAGGGTTACTAATTGGTTACTAATTTTATATTTGAAATCCATAAATGACCCATATAGTCGTCTTAACTTTGACAAAGACATAATGGTAATTCAATGGAGAAAACATAGCCTTTTCAACAAATAGTGCTGGTATAATTTGGATGTCCATATGCCAGAAAATAAAAATAAAAACATATTTTTATATGGTTTTCACACCTTATACATCACATATACTTCACACCTTAAATAATAATTAAAATGCTTCAGAAACTTAAATGTAAATTATGAACCTATCAGAGTTCTAGCAGAAAATAAAGGGAAAATGTGTCCAGTCTTGAGTTTGGCCATGAAGTTTCAGATACAACACCAAAAGCATGATCCATGAAAAGATAAATTACTGTTAGATTTCATCAAAATTAAAAACTTTTACTTTGTGAAAAACAGTGTTAAAAAAATGAAAAGACAAGTCATGGACTGGGAGAAAATGTTTGCAAATTACATATCTGATAGAGGACTTGTGTATAAAATATATAAGAATTATTAAAAATCAACAATAAGAAAGCAAACGGTCCAATTAAAAATGGTGAAAAGACCTAAACAGACACTTCACCAAAGAAGATACAAGGATGGCAAACACGTGAAAAGATGATATTCACCATTATATGTCGTTAGGGAAACGGAGATTAAAACTACAAAGAACTACCACTATATACCTATTAGAATGACTACAATTCACAAGACTAACAATAACAAATGTTGACCAAGAGGTGAAACAGCAGCACTGACATTCTTTGCTGGTGGGAATGCAAAATAGTACAGTCGCTTTGGAAGACAGTTTCTCAGAACACTAAACATAGACTTAGAGTACGACCCAGTGATGGCACTCCTAGGTATGTTTACCTAAGTGATTTAGGTCCACCCAAACCTGTATACAAATGTTTATAGCAACTTTATTCATAATTGCCAAAAATATAAAGCAACTGAGATGTCCACTCAACAGGGAAATGGATAAACTTTGATAACATTTAGTGATAAAAAGGAACAAACAATTGATTCACATAACATGGATGAATCTTTAAAGCATTTTACTAAGTGAAAGAAGCCAGACCAAAAAGGATCCAAACTGTGTGACTTCATTCACATGACATTCTGGAAAAGACAAAACTATAGAAGTAGAAAATGGACTGTTGGTTGTTAGGGTTTAGGAGAGAGGGAAGTATTGACTGCAAAGGGATGTACAGGGGAACTTTTTAAGAGTGAAGGAATTACTCTGTACAGTTCTGGGTTGGTGGATACATGACTATTCATTCTTCAAACTCTATAACCAAGTGATATACCTTAACCAAGTGATGAAGTTTAATGTCACCAGTTATTATGTCATGTGGGTGTCATGTGCCCCCTCATTTGATGTGGTAACAAAAGTACTTCACCTCTGTGATATTCTTGCCAAAAACTCATAACCCCGGTCTACTCATGAGAAAAACATCAGACATACCCAAATTGGGAGTTGTCCTACAGGTTATCTCATCAGTACTCATGACTGCGAAGGTCATGAAAAGCAAGGAAAGACAGATAAATAGACCAGAGGAGCCTGGGAAGACATGGCAACTGAATGCAGTGTGGTGTCCTAGATTGGATCCTGGAACAGAAAGAGGACATTAGTGGAAAAATTGGTGAAATTCAAATAAAATGTTTTGTTTAGTTAATAGTAGTCTTCAAGTGTCAGTTTCTTTGTTTTGACAAATATACCATGATAATACGTTAACAATGAGGTAAACCAGGTGTCCGGTATATGGAAACTGTCTGTAGTACCCTTGGAACTTTTCTGTAAATCTAAAATTATTCAAAAATAAAAAGGTTACTGGGGAAACGAATAAGTTAGTTATCATTGTCAAGTATAACTGAGAATCTAAGGCAGATTGAGGAATGGAAGAGTTTCTAGAGTATATAATTAGGTATTAGAGAAAGAGGAGATAATTTTCATAATTAGTTTTTTCCAGTAGGTGAAAAAGCACAAGAATAGTTTGAATTAGCAAATATACAGAAACCATTTATTTTATTTATAAAAGTTAAATTATTGGAATGGTACTCAGAAGGGTTTTTTTTCAGAATACAGGAAGTGTTTACAGATTTGAAGGCATCATTATGTGAAATTTATTAGGTTGGTGCAAAGGTAATTGCAGCTTTTGCTATTACTTTCAATGGCAAAAATCACAATTACTTGTGTACCATCCTAATAGAAGGGAAATTAAAAACAGGGAAATTGCAGTATGATAAAAGATTTACGTCTTCTTTCATCATATAGTTAGCCCTCAGGTTTTTGCTTTTGTTTAGTGTAAGATAAAAGATTATGCTGAAATCATGGACAAAATCAATGAATAATTTGTTTTATTTTGTCATGTTTTCTCAGGCATATTACAGTTTAACTTGACAGTAAACTTCTTGTAAGTAAATACATGTGTTACATATATGCAGAATTTCATTTTACCTGATAAATGTAATACATGTTAATGGAGTTTTACTTTTGAAAGTAAAATATATTCAAAAGCGAAAATGATTTAGAAATTTGTATATTATATGTACATATACAATTTTGCCTGAGCACTCAGTTGTGTAATCAGTGGTCAAATGAAATGGAAATGATGCTAATTACTGTAGTTGTTAAAGTGAAGTGTATAAAGTATGTAAATGGAACAAATTTTTTTTCTTTTTTCTTTTTTTGCCCAACATGGGTAAAAGAGGAATAAATGGAGCAAATGTTTTGAGCACCACAGAGGCATTTTATATTTTTTTAACATCCACAGTTGAAAAACATATGTATATGTAATATAGAATTACATATATTTAAATTTGGGAGTTTCCATGTTCTTTAGGGAAATATGCTAAAACAGTACGGTGTAGTAACTGAATCAGTAAACTTGTGTAGATTATTTATTTGTGTCAATTTATTAGAAAATAATATTTGTTGTAATTTACAACTTGCAAAGTAATTTACTATAAATGCCCTATCCATACTGCAGCAAAGCCTTTTGAAATTTCTGAATGTGTATAAGACCAGTTGCGTGTTTTGGCATACGTTTTGTCAAAATAGCAAAGATGTTAATGCCTTGTATCATTCTAACTATACTATCTTGTGATGCACCTAGCCAAATAAGAAAATCAAAGTACTAAATTTAGCTAGAGAGGATTGTAAATTTAGTATCTTAATGTTGGGATTCTTTTTGATGCCACTCATTCAATTTTCTTTCCCT